TCTGGGGAGTAGCGGTATCGGTACCTTCTGGTTTCCCCAGTTCGGGGAGGGTGCCCCAGCCATGTTCTTCGTGCTTGCGGAGTGTTCTTGTGCATCCTGGGGAGGGGTGGGGGGCCCTCGAGTGTTCTTCAGCTCGGCTGGCGGAGGGCCTCGTGTTCTCGAGGGATACTTTTCTGTTTCAGGTCCGGCCGCACAAGCGCACGAGGGGCCCCGTGGCAGAGGTCAGACAGGGCATGGCAGACGGACGAACGGCACGACAGACGAGGGGAGGACGGACCACCGACGGACGACGCCAGAGGACGACGGAGGACGGACGAGCGACGGCGCTGCGGACGGGCGACGGGCGAACGGCGCGGCGGACGAGCGAGTGACGGGCTACAGACCGAGGGGACGCCGGGCGGACGACGGGCGGCGACAGGCGCGCTGCACATCTTCCAGCGGGCCGTGCCGCTCGAGAGCCTGACGGAGGGGGGGCGGGGCGGGGCGCGAGCGCGCCAGTGCCGAAGCTGGGGGGCCTCATGCGAACCCTGCCCCTGCCCCCCACGATTTCTGGGGGGGAGGGTGGGGTTCACATCGCTCGGGAGCCTGCGAGGGCTCCCCCTCGGACTGCTCCCAGAGTTTGTCAGCATGCTCGTGAGCCTCCCGGCGGTTCTCCAGCCTCGCGGTGCTCTCCAGAGGCTGCGCCTCGTCGCGAGAGGCCCCTGGGGATGCGCCTGGGTCATCCCGAGCGAGCGGCCGCCGCAGACCCGAGATCCGAGAGCTGCACGACGACCCTGGCTGCCCGACCAGCTTTCAGTCGGGCGTGTCCCTCTACACAGCGTGCCCCCGGTTCCGTTCGGTTCGTTTCGGTTCGGGGGAAATTGGTTCGGTTCAGTACGGTTCCGGTCTCGGAGTTGGTCGAGGCGGTTCCCAGTCAGAGGGCGGTTCCGTTTCAGTTGGTTCCAGTTCGGCTCTCGGCTCTTGCAGATGACGTGTGCGCGTGTGCGTCTGCATGATCACATGGAGGCGTTTGGAGGTTCAGTTCAACCAGGAGTCAGGAGGAACCTTGGGGCCAGCGGAGCAATCGGGCCCCGCTACCCGACGAGCCAGGGGAGCCACTGGGCCCAGACGTCACTTCTGGTATTCTGGTGCCCTCGACGGACCAGTCGACAGCATCGTGCCCCCCTGGACCAGGGGGGCTCGGGCGACGGCGGGCGACTCCCCAGCGCCAGGATCGAAAACGATTGGACTACGGTCTGGGACAGTACGGACCACTCACTCCTGACATGGGTCATTCAGGAGGGGAAGAAACACACAGACACAATTAATCGTCGATCCCCAGGAAAATATGGGAAAATATGGGAAGTGGGGGGGAAGACAAAAAAAACTCAGAAAATATCGGAAAATATGGGGCATCGTTTTATTTGTGTGTATTTATTTGTGTGTTTGTGGGCCCCTTCACAAAGGACAACTGGGAAGGCAAGGCCGCCGCCCGCGCCCTCGCCAGGCGCGCGCAGGGATGGCGGGGGCCCGGCCCCTGCCGCCGTGGAGGCCCAAAAACGCAGTTTCGAACCGCCCAAAAACGGCGACTTGAGCTTTTCTGCCGCCCTTCCGTCCCCAGTGCAGCCCTGGAGGCTCCGAAAACCACCTGGAGGCCCAGAACGCATTTTCGAACCGCCCAAAAATGCGACTTGAGTTTTTCCGCCGCCCTTCCGTCCCCAGTTCGGCCCTGGACAAGCAGCAAAACAGGACGAGGGAGCCCGGGGGCGCAGGGGAGGAGTTGGGAGCGGGTGGGATGGACCTAGCGCAAGAATGGGCGCTCGCATGGGGCAGTTCCCAAGGGTCCACCCCCACGACCAGTTCCCAGTTCGGGTCCGGTTCGGTTCCACCGCCTCCGGTTCGGCTTGGTTTCGCTTCGCGTCGGGTTTCCGACGGGTTCCAGTTCCGTCGGTTCTCCTTCAGTCGGTTCGGTTTTGCGGTTCGCGGTTCGGTTCTGTGGTTCATTGTCTACACGAGGAATATAAAAAACGTAGTTTTTTTTGTTGAAGAAAAAGTGCGCTGACGATGTTTGACTTGTTTCGTATGTTTGAAGATGTTTGGGGTATTGTTCATGTTTCGTCCAAAATCCGCCTGTAGAGGGACACGCCCGACCCAAGACCAGCTTCAAGTTCTTCACGAGCGAGGATCGTATCGCATGCGTCCTCCTGGAGGTTCGAGGCGCCGGGGCCAAAGCGGCAGTCGCCCGGGAGGGGCCCCCCTTGGCATCTGCTCCCTTCGGTATCCGCTGACATCGTCTTCAAATTTGTCTCCCCCCCTTCTCTCGGCGGTGAAAAGGACTGGTCCTAAAACCTCCTCCTCCTCCTCCTTCTCCTCCTCCGTAGTCGTGTCTGTCGTAGTCATCGTAGTCGTAGCTGTCGTCGTCGTTGTCGTAGAGGTAGGTCGTCGTCGTAGCCTAGCCGTCGTCATCGTTGTTGCGCGGCGGGGGGCGGAACAAAAATAGTTACCCCCTAGTTATTTGGAGGACCCCAGTCATTCAAGCAGGCCGCCGAACAAATAATGTACTACCCCTTATTAGGGGGGCTCTGAAGACCTTTCAGGGTAGGGGCTTCGGGCTGCGCGCAGACGGTTCCCCAGGTGGTACCGGTTCGCTTCCACAGGCCCCTCGTGAAGTCTTGGCTGGCTTCAACAGGCCCCCCGCGTAGTCCCAATCCTTTATTAATCGTCCCCTGGGTCTTCTTTGTAACTGGGGGGGCCAGTCTAGGGCGCTTTCTTCGGACTGGAGCTTCGGGGGTCCGGTTTATTAAGGCGCCCCGTCGAAGAGGGGGGTCCAGAATATCAGGTCGCATTTGGAGAGGGATTTGGTTGTTTAGAGGGGGGCTACTAGACCTCATGGCGCCCACATAGCAGAGCGCATTTCGGTCAGAGAACCATAGGATCGACCTCGATTATCCTGGATAATGTCGTTCCAGATTTTGAAGTGAATTTCGTGCGGATTTCTGTTGGGCCAGGAATGAAGACTAAACAAAAATCCACGCGAAATTCACGTTGTTTTTCACTCGCCGTTTCGGGGTTTTGTATTGGTCAAAAGTCGATAAGCGAGTTGCCCTTTTCGCTGCTCGGGGGGTCGCTGTGGCCGCAGTGTTTGAGGGCGACGCCCGCTGGCTCTGGCCCCAGGCCGTTTCCACTAAATGGGGTTTTACCATTTCACTCCCGATGCACGCCCTCGCGGTCTGGCTTTGGTGGCGCGATCCCGTGGATTTGTGTTTCGCATGGATGCGTTCCGAGCGGACATCCGCGAGCCCTGATGAAGCTGTTGCAAACTTCTGCGGCGAATGCACGCGGCAATGAGGAGAGAACCCGCCGCCCTCCACCCTTGTGTCCGTTGCAAGTTTTTTTTCAACGAGTGTGCGCGGCTGCGCTAAGGGGAGAGACAACTTTGGAACACCACCCGCCCCCAATCCTTGAAGCTCTCCGCGTGTTTAGCTGTATCACAATCAATCGCAAGGATGAATGAATTGGCCGGCCCGCTGTTCCAGTTTCTCCCGCTCCGACGCATGTGTTTTGAGTTCGTATTTGTCGACGCCGCAGCGCCACCGCCTCGCCCCACGCAGAGCCGTCCCGCGGGACGAGCAGGTGCAGTGTCCACTGAGCGCCCAGTGTCCATGATTAATCCGTCGCAAGGACGTCTCAAGCGAATCGCCCGGCCCCGCTCTACGGACACGTCTTGTTGTGCGGCAGGGGGAAGTGATTTACAAGGAGCAGGGGTTGACGATGGAGGAGAAGGCTAAAAAGGAGGAGGAGAAAGGCGAGCAGGGAAAGAGGAGGAGGGGGAGCAGGAGGAGGAGGAGGAGGAGTGCAAACCCAGGACGAATCAACTATGCTGCAGTGGATCCTCCCTCCAAGTTCCCTCTTTATAGGTTCCTACACGAATGTATTTTGATTGCGGGTCGTCCTCATTGGTCGCACCAAAACACCATTCCCTTGGATCTTAAGCCACGGAACAACACGATTGTTGCGTGCTGACAAACCCTAAATCGCGCCAGCATGCCGTTCGTGGGACTCCAACACCGCGAAACACTGTAGGGTCCTGACAATTACAAACCGTGCCTGAAAACCATTCCTGGGACGTCGACCCTACGAATCCTTGAAACCGTAGCAACCTTGAAAGACGAATGCGCGCGGCGCTGAGACGAGAGCCACATTTTGAAAACGACCCACCCTCCAGATTTGAAGCTGTTGTCAACTTGAAGCACGAGTGTGTCCGGCGCCACAAGCGAGATACACATTCTGAAAACAGACACGCCCGCCATCCATATTTGAACATGTTGGTTTTGAGACGAATGTGCGCGGCGCGGGGGCAAGAGCTACGTACATTTTGAAAGCCACCCGCCCTCCATTCGTGAAGCTGTTGCAATTCTCAAGCTTCAGGATCAAACATTAGAAGGACGTCTCAGGCGACACGCCCAGCACGCCCCTGCAGACAAGTGCGGGGGTGCGACATGGAGGGGTGACAAGTGCAGGGGCACGACAGGGAGGAGCTGTTCAAAATAACGAGTGACGGAGGAAGAGGAGGAAGAGGAAGAAGAGGAGGAGGAGGAGGAGTACTTTCATGTTATGGCAGTGGCACGCGTCATGCTTGATCGCGCTGCAGGAGTACGTGTTGCTGTGCACGCGCAGCAGTAGCTGCGTGTCCGCGTCACTTGTAGGGGCCAGCCGCTCCCCCCCGTGCTGCTCGGTCGGACGTGGCGGTGCGCAGGAGGAAGGGAGGGGAAGGAGGAGGAGGAGGAGGAGAAGGAGGAAGAAGAGGAGGAGGAGGAGGAGGAGGAAGAGAGGCAGAGGGGGCAAGGATGGAAATCTTCAGCGGGAGAAGGATGAGGAAGAGGAGGAGGAGGAGGAACCTAAGCAGGACGGTGAGGGGAGGAAGCATGAGCATGAGGAGGAGGAGCATAAGCAGGATGGATAAGAAGGGATAGCTCGAGGGGCAGCCGAACGAGCGGCCCCGACGAAGGGGGATCCCCCAGGAGTTCGAGCTGCCCGCTGCCCCCAAGTTCAGCGCCGCCTGGTCCATCCATCGGGAGCCCGTGGAGGAGGCGCGCACCTCCAATGCGGCTCCGGCCACCGCGGAGGGACGAGTGTTCAGGCCCCCAGAGACCAGGATACAGACTGACCAGGACATTAGTAATTCGGGGAAACGACACCCTTTCCTGCAAAGTCAGGTTTGGTGGTCCAGTGCAGGTTTATGGGTTTGGTCTAGCGTGTCCGGGTTTGCGGGGCCCTGAAATGTCCTCCGAGGGCGAGGCCCATACCTCATGCCTGCGATCTCCGTGCTAGGACGGGCAGAGGAGGGCGAGCTGAGAACACGGCAGTAGGCCTTGGCTGGACGCAGCTCGAAGAACGACTGTGTTTGGACCCTGGGAAGGGGTCTGGGGATCGACTTTGAGTTGCCGTTGCCTTAGCTCGAAATGCTCCGAGAGCCAGCATATTCCTGCATTGCGCTTCTCCCCCCCCCCAGCGACCCCCCCCCCCAGAGACATTATACTTGTTTACCTCCCTGTCTGTCCTTCTGGTTCATTTTCCTGCGCCCCTCCGTTTCCTGTTCTTTTTCCCAACCCTCCTGTGTTGGGTTCTCGTTTTGAGTAGAGTGGTGTGGTCGCCCCGTCCTCCTTCCTCCTCCCCTCTCCTCCCCTACTCCTTCTCTCCTGCGAAACTGTCGGCACTTTCGTGGGCTCCTGGGAGGCCCGGCGGAGGTGCGTCATACGCGGACCGCCACTATAGCCACTTGTGCCCTGGGTGGCTGCGATCTGCGAAATTGTCGCACTTTCGTGGGCTCCCGGGAGGCCCAGCGGAAGTACGTCACACGCGGACCACCACTATAATTCGTGGTGCCCTGGGTGGCTGCGATCTGCGAACCTGTCCGCACTTTCGTGGGCTCCTGGGAGGCTCAGCGGAGGTACGTCATACGCGGACCGCCACAGACGCCCTTAGTGTGTGTCTGTTTTGTATCTTCGCCGCTGCTCTTCTTGCTGCGCTCTTCTGAAATCCCTGCTCGGTGCTCTTCCTGCGCACGGCGAACCCTTCAGAATGCCAGTCGGCATTGAGTGGTCCTGAGTATACTCGCCACATGTATATCAATGGAGCAGTCTTATGCTTAAAATGATCCACATGTTGGCGGACTACCATGGATGCGAATATGAACTATTCCTTATCCGTGCACCTTGGGCGTAGAAGAGAGCCGATCTTGTGGCCTCCCAGCGAAGCAGTGCGCGCACGAGTCCAAGAAGCTCCAGGCAAGATTGCCTCTGTAGCACCTGCCGCGTGATTCTTTGGTCCCTTGCCATTCCAGTACTCGCTGGCACTTGCCCACGGAGGAGGAGGAAGAGGAGGAGGAGGAGGAGGAGGAGGAACGCAGTCTGTCCAGGGATTCCGACAGCACCTCTTTCAGGGCAGCCATATCCTGAGGTCCATTCCCAGAGCTTGGTGCATGTCTCCGTTCGTCACTGTACCAGTCCCACTGGCCAGCAGGATCCCACCCCGTGTCGAGTATCGTGGCGATCGTCGCAGACACTACCCCTTCAATACCTCCCCATTTGTTTTCTTTGGCTGAAAGTCGTAGCCTGATTGGCCTCCGAGTACGTCTACCCAATTATTTGTCGACACCGGGCCTGAAAATAACAGTCATCCAATTACCCTGCGACGTACCCAACCCTTTTTTTATATATGTGGCCTCCAGGGCACCGCGAGCTATAGTGGTGGTCCGCGCATGACGTAGCTTCGCTGGGCCTCCCAGGACCCCACGAAAGTGTTGACAGGTTCGCAGATCGCAGCCCCCCGGGGCACCGCGAGCTATAGTGGTGATTTGCGTATGAAGTAGCTCCGCTGGGCTTCCCAGGAACCTACGAACGTGCCGACAGTTTCGCAGATCGCAGCCCCCCAGAGCACCGCGAGCTATAGTGGTGGTCTGCGTATGACGTACCTCCGCTGGGCCTCCCAGGAGCCCACGAATGTGCAGAAATTTTCGCAGATCGCAGCCCTCCGGGGCACCGCGAGCTATAGTGGTGGCCCGCGTATGGCGTAGCTCCGCTGGACCTCCCAGGAGCCCACGAAAACGCCGACAGTTTCGCAGATCGCAGCTCCCCCAGGCACCGCTAGCTATAGTGGGGGTCCGAGTATGACGTACCTCCGCTGGGCCTCCCAGGAGCCCACGAAAGTGCCGATATTTTCGCAGATCGCAGCCACTCAGGGCACCGCGAGCTATAGTGGTGGTCCGCGTATGACGTACCTCTGCTGGGCCTCCCAGGACCCCACGAAAGTGTTGACAGGTTCGCAGATCGCAGCCCCTCAGGGCACCGCGAGCTATAGTGGCCATTTGCGTATGACGTAGCTCCGCTGGGCTTCCCAGGAGGCCACGAAAGTGCCGACAGTTTCGCAGATCGCAGCCACTCAGGGCACCGCGAGCTATAGTGGTGGTCCGCGCATGACGTACCTTTGCTGGGCCTCCCAGGAGCCTACGAAAGTGCTGACCGTTTCGCAGATCGCAGCCCCCGAGGGCACCGCGAGCTATAGTGGTGATCCGCGCATGACGTACTTCCGCTGGGCCTCCCAGGAGCCCACGAAAGTGCCGACAGTTTCGCAGGAGAGACGGAGGAGGGGAGGAGAGGGGAAGAAGGAGGAAGGAGGCCAGGGCGACCACATTGCTCTGTTCAAAACGAGAACCCAACACAGGAGGGTTGGGAAAAAAGGATAATTATGGAATTGCCAGACGTATATCCATGCTTGGGACGCAGGCGCAACGCAGGTTTCACCACTATATCGGAGACTCTGGCGAGGCGGGCTGAAACAGACCGCGAAGCGTGACCATGCTTGTGGCTAATGGGGGTTCTCCCTGCCACCTGGACCAAAGTGGAGAACCACCTGATGCAACTGCAGAGGCGGCCTTTGGCGAGCCAGGCCGGTTTTAAAACTTACAGGAGATCCTGGTTGGTGGGGATACGTCTGGTGATCAACACTCGTCGGGCCCATGCTTGCGTAGGATCGGGTGGGCATATCAGGTGGCGAAGGTGAACTACGCAGGGGGGGGTGGCCCGGACATGCTGCGTGGCCGTGGTGGTGGCGCTGCAGGCACGCACACCGTACATCGAGGCGAGCTGACGACACTTGTTGAGGCTTGCTGGGTTTTGGCAAAGTGCCCACCTTCGTGACGGATCATCTTGCGTCGTCAGGGGTGTGGCCGAGCTCGCACAAGCAGGTCCCTCGACCACCAACATTGCTCTTTGGCAGAAGCTGGGCTCTTCGACCAGTGGTAACTGGGAGTGGCTCCATCTCGTCAAGATCGAGAGTCACCAGTCCATTGAAGATGCTCAGAGGACGGGTACGCTACTAGACCACTACTTGGTCGCTTCATGGCGGACGAAGCTGTTGGGTTGTGGGCCAAAGACGTCGTTGTCGACAAAACAGTAGTGGATTCGGTACAGCATGCCAGTGCCACCGGACGAGTGTGAGGAAGCAGTTGGCGAAGGCTTTTTCTGACAGCCTCTGAGGCGCCCGGTGGCTAAGGGAGCTCAGAGACGGGCCCATGTGTTAGAGCATGCTGTGTTTATTGGGGTTGATTCGGCCTTTCATTGGATGTCAGCTGTGTTCTCAGCGGTGTCAGCTGTGTTCTCGAATGCATGCTGGACAAAGGCCAGGATGCGTGAGCGTGGGCACGGGCGCGACGGCGCGCGTCCGCTGCGCGGTCACCCTGATTCCTTGTTCCACAGGCGATGGGCGTGCATGCGTGCGCAGGTTGCGGAGAGAGGGCTCGAGTACGTCAGTCAGGACATGATTGATGCAGACAAGGCCGCCCCTCCGCACGAGCGCCCTTTCTGGCGTCGCCTTATCCCGTCCCAGCCTGATGTCCCTCCCCCGCCCCTGAGTGGCACCTTCACCCCGTCCTCCAGGACGCTGATGGGCAGGAGATCGAGATCGAGGGGGGAGTTCTAGAGTTCACCCGTGGATGTGAGCCAGTAGTCGAGGGGTCGGCTACTCAGCAGGTGTTTAAAGTGCTCCAGCGTGCTGCGTGTGGGCCAGTGAACCTAGCGCCTGGACTTGAGTATTCGACCAGGGCTCGCACGTTCGGTGGCCTGTCCGCGCTTCAGACCCCACGGGCTGCTCAGCATTTGGGCATCGCCACCCTCCTGCAGATGATGCATCGGTCTCCACTCGCAGCGATTGCGCTGAAGCCGTACGCCGTGAAACCGCGTGGTGCTAAGAGGCGTGATCAGCTCAAACCAGAAACAAATGTTTCTGCCCCTACGGAGGCTCGCCCACGAGGGGTGCCCAGCGGGCCTAGTAGGACCAGCGTCCTAGACCCCCGCCCATAGGTCCGAGGAGGTGATCTTGGCTCTTCCGAACTTGGAGCGTCGCAGTGCCATGGGAAATGCCGACGCTGACAGGTTGGCCAAACATGTTTTGCCGATGCGCCCAGGTTCTAGAGGCCCTGGACCTGTCTGCCAAGTTGCGTGAGGCAGCTAGTTCACATGTTTGGTGCTGTGCCGTAGCCATTTTGGCTCAAGTAAAGGCTCCAGTGCTCTGGCGCTCGCTCCTTTGGAAATCATGTCCAAGCGTGCAGGCGAGAGTGCAGGTTCAATACCGGAGAGGAAGGGAGCGAAGAAGAAGCAGGCCATCGAGAACGGGTCGAGCGACGAGGGGATGTCGTCCGGGGATGGCGGCATGGTGGCCGGAGCGGAGGCACCGCGGGAGTGGTTCCAGTTGTTCTAGATCCGGCAAAATACACGTTTTGACAAGATCGTAGATAAGGTCCGCAAGTTGAGAAACAAACAAAGCAACATTTCACCATCAAGAACGTGAAGGAGGAGGTGGAGGAGGTGACAACTATGGCGGGGAGGTGCAGGAGAGGGTGGAAGATCTCGAGCTCGATGCGACCAAGACGACGTCGCATATGGAGGTTCCCGCAGCGGAGGAGATCACGAGGAAGAGTTTGGAGGAGTACGCTACGGAAGAAGAGATGCAGCAGACAGGCGAGATCATCGTAGCAGGGGGGGTCCGGGAAGCGCTGGACAAATTGCCAGGGGAGAGCGGCATGGGCAAGCAG